AGCTTGGCTGTCGGTCACAGACCCCACTTTTGTTTTTCATGCCCTTATGTAACTACTAAGTTATACAACAAAAGCTATTAAATGAGCTGTTCACGTTGAAACGTTCAAACATTGGGGAAATTCATCATTAGTATAAAATGGAATAGCAAAATTCCAGCTTAAGAATATAAACTGAGTATGTAATTTTTACCATAATGTCATTTATACCCTTTTGTAATTTATCATGTAAACCATTTTTACTCGAGTAGCAACACTACTAACCACAAATCGTTTACAGTTGATATTTAGGTAGACGAGGAGTTTAAAAGTTTACACATTTATCCTCAAATTTAGGAGAACCCGAAAAATTGTAAATTTTTCAATTTTCAATTTGATTTTTTATTTATTGTCCAAAATATTGATAAAAACCTACTTCTCCCACTTTGACAATTTCTTAAAGTGCTCATTTATATTGTGTTGTTTAAATAAGGTTTAAAAAAAATTGAAATAAGTAATTATATAGATTTTTAACGTGATCATATTCTAAATAAAACTTCACCAAATATAATATTATACGCATTTTAATAATTTATTACACTTGAAAATGGTATCGTGTGGATTTTGTATGTTTACAATTCGCCCACCCTTATACAATTATATAAAAGATATCCTGTGGTGTAATGGAACATTGCACTTAAAAAAATAAATATTATTTATATTATATACTATCATAAGTTTGCCTTTGAAAAATAAAAAAACAAGATATTTGTTTTAAACATAAAAATCATTATATAAAAAATACTGTCAGTCCTCATAAGTTATTTTAATTAATTTCATATAGCAGCTGTTATATCTACTAATATGACTTCAACATCGACATGTAGGTGAGAACGTTATAATTATACTTAAAATCCTTAAGTTCAGGGTCACAGTTCACACACCTCTCTCGTCAGTCGACAAAATAAAAGCCTAGCCGGAGTTTTTCACTAACCTATTCTATCCATCTAATCGCACCTATCCTCAACAAATTCTTAAACCCAATGTTAAAACGCACTTTACATTACTAAAACAACACTTTAAAAGTAATAAAACCACTTTGGATAACTATGATGGGCTGCAATAAACAAATCTTAAAAAATTACAAACTGGCCAAATCAAAACTTTCCGTCGGATTACCAACTCTCCTTACTATATATCAAACGAAATTCTGCACAATGGCGTTTACATGAATACAGTATTTAATGCGCTTTGCTGTCATATACCAGGTACCACAACTTTAGAAGGTGATCCTTCTAAAAAATTAAAACGTAAATAGTGCTGAGACCTATTACAACAATAAACTAACGAATACATTATAAACAAAATAATTATAAAATCCCCGTAAAGTAACGTCGATAGACGGCGTCCTAACTCGTGTCACGCACTATATTGTGAGTATAAAAAAAATATCAAATACTCATATACGAGATGTACTTATTTTACCATATTGTAAAGAGTGTATAATGTATATTGACAAAAATAATCCCCGTGAGATAAATAACTTGCCTTAGTTCTTGCATGTTGCAAACAAATCGAAATATTAATAATTTTATATATTTATAATTGTTTACATATACAGTAAAAATATTAAATAGTAACTTTTCAAAATTCAGTTATCCACAAACTGTTTCTTTGTGAAACTTGAAATAAAATGTACAACCTATTTAGTATTAAAATATGCAAGACTTTTATTGTTTTTCTCTTATAAAACAAAAAATATACACTTTTAAATAACCATTGTATTATAATTCTTTTACCAACAATCAAAACCATAAAACCATTGATCGTTGCGTTTTAGATAAGTACCTATTTGCATGAAAACATCATTAATCACTTCTAAAAACAAATTCGTTGGCATTGTTCAATAGCAATACAGCAATATTCGCCCCAACTACCCAAATGGCGAACAAAACAAACAGACAAGTCAATCAGAAATACAATATGACGCAGCCAACACAAAGAACATTATTTATTGAACGTTATTATCGCGGATATCTTTTTTTTTTGTTCAGCGACATGCATAGATGAACACATACCCCGGTGGCCCAAGTACATATTATTGTGATCGTGATTCGACACCCCAAATATAATACCTTTATACTGCGTTTGACGGCAATAATCGCGGCTTGTACAACCAACGAGGGAGTATGATGAATCAAAAGCAATGAAAACCAATAACAATCACAAGTTATCGCAATCAAATGCTTAACATTGAATGTATGCCACATGCCTACAATTTGTACAAATTATACGGATTTTTATTCTTATGGAATTCATTAAAAATCAATGGTTGACGTGTAATACTTACTGTTTAAAAAATTATATACATAATTAATGCATTCTAATGACTATTGTAATATTTCTTCGTAACTATATAATTTAGAAATATTTGTGGAGTTTAAAAAACGTTTTATCTAACCTTTAATAATACTTATTAAAATTAAAGGTATGTAAACTAGGGTTTATAATATTGTAAACATATTTAATTTTATCAGCTTTTATAGGTTTTTAATAAATTACGTTATCATTTTTTATTTTTTACTGTATTGGTTAAGTTATACAGTCATGAACTTTATTACTGCGAAATTGAATTTTAAATAAACACTATAGAAATTATATTAAACAATACTCTGGTTTGAAATAATTCAGTCAGTAATCAGTTATATTATTATCCATAAACTAACCTACATCGATTAAGATTTTATTGCGTCAGTGTGTAATCTAGCATATGGCTTTGTATTATAACAGTATTTTCAAATTCCTTTAAATTATCTATACTCTTTCTTACGAGAGAACATGATACTAGAGATTTACATGGAGATTTTTGTTTACTTTTTTCCTTTTTAACGCTAATTTAGAACTTGAGATTTGGAATTATAGCTTACATTTTGACGCAATTTTAGAACTTTCTGAAAATTATTACAACAGAAAACGGTACTGCTCAGAACTTAGAACTTATTTACTCTTGTATGCGACTGCGCAGACAGAGTTGCACGTTTTGGTTATATATGCCAATTTTTTTTTTAGTCATTATACCAAATCAAATTTGGAATTCAAAATATAGACACATTTTAAAAAACAAATTTTCCAGATAATATTGTAAGTATTGTCAAGAGAGGAGAATTTAATGAACTTCACCCACATTTAATTACTTAACATACAAATAATTTCTTATTATGATATGCTACTTAAGTTAATCGCTCCAGGTGTTTTCGCTATACCTACAGAGTTGTTTAATATAAGACTAGAGAATCGCAAAACAAATACCTACATCATATTTTAAAATCAGTAATATATGTTTTATATAAAAATAATTTTTGATTTATTCCCAGAAGGAACAATGGAGTCAATTTGTTTGTATGGGACAATTAGATAAGAAATGTTATAGAAAAAAACGAAAAATTTTAGAACGATATATATTAACTACAAAAAAGAGTATAAAGGGTAGGTACTAAAGAAGTTTTGAAGGCAATAGTAATAATCAGATACAAAATATATTACCAATAAAGACTTATTATTGTAGCTACAAGAAAAAAACTCAAAGTTGTTTTTTAAATAAAGTTTTTACAAAATAATGCATATACCAAACCTCTTAATAAATGTAGGTAAAGTATGGATGATCTTACAAGGCCAAGGCATTTGATGTCTATTATTTGCAGATGATGTAGTCTTAATTGACAAGATTATATATTAATCAATTAGTCAGTTAAATTATAGAAATGGAATGAGTTAGGCATAGAAAAATAAGGTTTCAAAATAAATAAAAGTGTCTAGGTATATGAAATAATTAGTTGAAGTAATGAAGAAGCTACAGAAGAAGGTAGTTGTCGACTTGTTATACTTGGAGCCTAAGTTGTAAAAAGAGTAGAAAATCTTAAATATTTAGAATTTGTTAGATATGTGAACAAAGAAGTTGAAGTAAATGTAGTAAATAAAAATAAATGGTTAGAAGACTAAGTAAAATGTGGTAAAAAGGTGTCATTTAAAGTAAAATTAGGTTGTTTATAGAACTGTAGTGAGGCAATTGTTAAAAAGTGAGTGTTATTTGTTAATTATATTGTAAAATGATGTAGAGGTACACTAAAATACATTATGAGAGCTGTCAAGCAGCCCTAAAGTGGGCACATGTTATAATAAAGACAACATTGTAGTATACGGAGTGGATGGAAAAACATTGATTAATAGAGAAACCTAATAGTTAGTCTACTTAAAGCCTAACGGCTAAAATTATAAAACATGGAACATGCTTTAGTATGCTGGCTTTTGAGTCTTGAATAATTATTTCCGATATATTATCTCCTTGCAATATATGATAGTATAGTCTTAAATGTATGTTATGGTCAAATGTTTTTTAGTAGTTTGTTAATATTTGGCCTTAATCGGTTTATTGGCAACATTCACCTGGTCAGTTATTTTGTATAAGTTTAACCATTAATTTAATTGTGCTCGTTGTGAAATTATTTTCATTTATTAGGATGAATATTTGGTTACCCATTTAAAAAAAATACCAATACATGGATTTGTACCTTTCACGGTTAACTTAAAACAATATGAATGTAAATCAATTTATCTATCATATAAATAAAACTATTATAGTGGTCATATATATTTTGATAAATCATAAAAAAACAATAAATATCGTGGACAAAACAATAACGGTACACAAAATGGCAGCCTCTTACCAGGGGACTTATTCATAAGCTGCCGATTATAGGCAATACGCGTTCCATATTTTGAGTTAAGTGGCACAGCCTAGTCACAGACTATTTTAATATAACGAAACAGTTGGGACTTGGATTGTAAGATTTGGAAACATAATAGGTATAATATCCGTATATTAAATATCAATATGGGTTTGTTTTTCAAAATCACGATGCCATTAAAAAATAACAGCTGATTTCATTATTATTGATAACGAGTTATCTTTTGGGTTTGCTTGGCTTTATACTGATAAAGTTATCTTCACGATTAAAGATCCTAAATCGTGACATCAATTGACTAAGTACGATTTGTTGTGATCGAAACAAAATTAATAACATTAAATGATCGGTTCTTTCAATTTTAATTTCACTCATTTATATAATTTGTACAAAACTAAAAGCATAACGTTGTGATTTATAATTATTTTAGTGACAATTTAAATCAATATTTAGTTTTATTTAAAATGAATTTTGAACCGGATCTCAAACAATATACTATGTGCTCCGTGTTAGGTTCATGTTTCTCTGATCGTGCAGTTGTGTTCCTAGGTAAACACAATAAAAGTGGAAATTTAGTAGCTATGAAAAATTTTAACCTAGATACATTGTCCAAAACGGATTGTCAGCTTATTCAAGATGAGATTTATAACACCAGACAATTGATGCATCCAAATCTTATATCGTATGTAACATCATTCCTGGACAAAAGTCAGCTATATGTTATATTTCCTTTAATGGGATATGGTTCATGTCGTGATCTATTACGAAACCATTTTGTAGAAGGTTTACCAGAAATAGTGATTGCATTTATACTCAGAGATGTATTGTTGGGTCTTGAATATATACACAACAAAGGTCTTATACACAGGTTTGAAAAAATTATAACTTAAGAACTATCAAGTTTGCTTATTATTCATTAATATTGCAATAATAATTCCGTAGGGCGATAAAAGCAAGTCATATATTGGTACGAGCTGATGGCCATGCTTGTTTATCAGGCTTACGCAACATGTGTCCTATCGACAAGCGGTCAAACTTGCATTCACTACCACTACAATCTGCAAACAATTTAAATTGGTTCAGTCCAGAAATGCTTGAACAAAATCTACTAGGATATAATGAAAAGTCAGATGTATACAGTTTAGGAATCACAGCATGTGAACTAGCCAATGGTTTCGTTCCTTTCGCTGAAACTGAAACTACATTAATGCTTACACAAAAAGTTAAAGGCCTTATACCTCACTTACTTGATTGTACTACATGTTATCCTTTTGAAGATAATACTGCTGACAATGGATATCAGTCTGAAGAAGCATTTGGTATTAACACTGCCCCCATGAGTAGTATTTATACAAGAATATTAACTGAGCCATTCCATAATCTTGTTGAACTTTGCTGCCAACGAGAACCAGAAACCAGACCTTCTGCATCTGAATTACTGGCGCACAATTTTATTAAACAAGTAAAATTATTTAAAAATACTAGCACAATCAGAGCCAATCATGTTAATTATGTATGACATTACAAATAGACCCATAAATATACAAATGACAACTGTAGACAGTGGTCACCAAGACCCTGCAAGACAACTGTTGCCCCTTGACAGTGGCACTTAATATGTTAAAATATAATTCAATTTAGTATTATATCTTTTAAAATGATTTGTAATTTTAAAGAAATTTTATTTGAAATGATGAATGGTTAAATAAGTTTGATGTATCGCTTAGAATAATCAAATAATTGTTTACTTACAGGTAAAAAGAGATAATGAAAAAGTGACAGATTTGTTACGACCAGCCGTTCCATTGTTGAAAACTAACGTTGCTGAAATAAGTGATGACCTAGCATCTGTTGGAGGTATTTCTCAACAACTTAGCGACCTTGATTTACTTACATATACTTGGGATTTTGATCACAATGATACAATTTCTACATAAATATCTAAAAATCAGTATTATATAATTGCATACTTAAATATTATGTATTGTTATGCATTTATTTTTGTTAGTCTTCTTAAAAAATGTAAAAGAAAAAAATAATTTTTATAAATTAATACCATTCTTAATAATACATACCCTCGTACCCATTAACAATAATTGTTATCATAATTCATAAACAATAGGTATTTTCTTTGTAATAGTAATACTTAAAATAATTTTCATTATTTACTTTGATTATTATACAATGAAATATATATTCTGTGGTTAAGACCTAAAGCACACTGCTAATTAATATCATTATATCAGAGTTTCATTATAATAAAAGTTCAAATTTTAAATGATAGGCAAAAATAATTAAATCTAAATTTTTAAGATACATTGTTTTAATGAAACTTTGATACTTTAATCAAACTCTAGTACCTCTGCTACACATTAATCACACCTAACATATTGTGTAATCACAGCAAAGTACAAATTACATGTAAACGGAAACGCTCGAACAAATTTTAATTTGCAGAAATAAACTAGGTATCAAAAACCTGTTAAACATTAGATAAGAACTTTTCAAAATACTAGTAACATGTTTAACTATGCAATTTATGTAACACTTTCTACTGGAGCACTATATGGTCTATATATTATATTATATATTTATATTGCACTTGAAACTATTATATGTCTATATGTATACCAAAATTGAGTTGTAGATATTTCGAAATATATTTATTATTAAGTATATGTGAATAATTTGTTTTGTTGTAAATGTAAATAATTGTATGTAAATATTCATATTTTGTTATGTTTTCAAATCCTATCTTGTTTTGTTGATTGTACAACAATTATAAATGTAAATATAAATTTATTTTTTACTATTATAAAAATGTATGTACACACACATATATATATACATGTATACATATGTTTATACAAATTTTGTATAAACGTTTTTCCTGTTTAAGTGCATTTTTGTTTTTAATATTCTTTTACTAAAATATACTAATATACATCACATTTCTTCGTGACACTGCATAAAAGTGTCACTGAGCCACTGGGAATTAGCACACATCATTCTTATAAACAAAAAGAGATTTCATAATTTTTCAATAATAATAATTACATTTTGGATAAAAATATAGTTGTATACTATTATGGTTTACTTGATGTCATTTTTTTGTGGATATAACTTCTGTAAAAATATATTGGTTCAATTCACATAAAGTTATATATTTTATTTTTAAATCATACATTAGTTATTATTGACCATCCATTTGTTGTCACAACTCGCAACAAATGTTTATGTTTTACATTGATACAATTATGATTACATTAGTTTACTGATGTAATGCAATAAGGAATACTAAGTTGGGTTAGGTTAGAATGTTTATAGAAATAATTTAATACAAATTAAATATTTTTTGTTTTTAATTAAAATATTATAGAACTTTGCAGTTATTCATAATAAATAAGCATATAAGTAATATGTAGTTAAGTTTTGTATTTTTTTTTTTTTGCCAAGTTAAAACTGTTATTACAATGCTTTTTACTGTTTTTTACATACTCCACAGTCCACAGTGAATATGTCCCAGGTTAAAATTAGTTATGTAATACATTAACTGTCTATTTAATGTAATCGTACAAGATAATTGAGCATTTCGGTTATGATATTTTGCTACTTGATTACACATTTCACTACATACTGTAAATTATTCATAGCCATCGTTTTCAAACGTAATAGTTCTAAAGTTAAATGTGAGTGAAACTTCCACCGAAGTGCTGCCCCGCTGGACGTTTCTTCATTCAAACCTTCATGTTCATTAATTCTATTTTTCCGCACTTATTGTACCTTAATCGTGTATATATTGTAATATTATCTAAATAAAAAATAAATAGTAAAAAATATGAGTTTTTTAAGGCGAATATATTTATTAAATCATGTTGAATACGATCACTCTTTAAAAAATCTAATATTATTCTTGATATAATCTATTATTTCTATTTTAGTACTTAGTTGTTAATATTTCAATATATATTTCATAATCAAATAATTTATCGTGCCTAAAGTGATCTATAATAACTAACTGAGTAGTGAGCATAGATATATGTAATAAACTAGATTGCTAACTGTACATGCTACCAATAGAGAAGTTTGAAGCAGCCACTTTCCGCCATTTCGGTGGGAATTAGAACCTTATCACACGAGAATAATATTTGTTTATAATAATCACATATATATATATATAATATTGATAGAATAATATATACAGATATATATTATATGCAATCTAGTTTATTATATATATCTGTGGTAGTGAGTGTTACATTAAATTATGATAAATAATTAATTATTTTTTGTAACCATCTATAACAGGTATACAAAATTTGGTATAATATGTTTGATATTGGTTATCATTTTTTTTAAAATATCAAACTGATTATAAAAATTAAAAAGTATAAAAAAATCGATTGTTTCGTAAATTTGGGTACGGGTTGCTACAGTTACCACGAATGTTGCATGCCACGACTCGTAGTTACTCCGACATTGCTTTATCAGTCATTTGCCACGAATATAATCTACTTCGAATATACAATTACTACGATTAGACGGTTAGCCCGAATTTAACATACCCGACATCGTAAAGTAATTAAAGAATCATACAACAGTTAACCCGATATTGTGATACCACGAAAGTATTTTACTTCGACTATACATGATAAGAATACTTGACCACCGGGCATAATGAATTTAATATGTTATATTACATTATATTAAATTCATTAATTACGTTTTATAGTATATTCTTTATTATCAATTGCACATTTTAATATACAATATTTTTTTTAATTATTGGGTAAAACCCTTTGGCAACAAAGGCCATTGTAAGGGTTTTATTAAAATAGTTGATATACATAATTGAATACAGTAGACTATACATTTAAAATAGAAAAGTTAGACAAATAAGATAAGAATTTTATCAACTATTTTTTTAATAAATAATTATATAAATCTGATTGTAATATAATATAATTTAGAAGGTAGGTGATTGCTTCAAATTGAGGCCCAAGGGTTTCAGATAGATTTTCGAATATATTATTGTTAATTCGTTGTGACTGGTATTATAAACAATTATTTTTAGGTTTTAGAGTCACTTAAAATGGACAATAACTTACAATATTATAAAATAATTGTAACAATATAAAAGTTAGTTTTTAATTACGATTAATATGTGAAAACAAATTGGTATTATAAAAAAGTAATAATATTGAACCAGTGTTTCAATTTTAAATCAACTGTATGTGTAGAGTATAGATCTTTTTCAAACCGCTGTGTGTGGTGATAACGATACATTTCATATTTTTTGTTGAAAAATTTGTTGACGTATATATCTACTGTTTATTTTCAATTAAATAACTTACTGACTTATTTTATATATATGTAAATTATTTGTTTTAGGCCAATACTATAGTGAAATCATAACCGACGCGTGTCCGTTTAGAAGATTGATTGCTACTTCTATCTACTCTGTCTTTAATTAATACAATAAGTAGTTATTATTGTTACCATTGGTTACAGACTGTTATCCTATGCCGTCACCGATTAATTTGCCTGTGGCCAACAGAAAACTTACACCATAAAAGTTCATTTTTTGTTATTTATGAAGTATTTTTTAATAATTAGTGCCTATCTAATCTCTATACTCAACCCTAATTTAAATTGACAGTTTTTTTTTTCATTATACAGTGTCTTAACCGACTTCTCTTAACGCTTTAGTTTCTTAACGTGCACACACATACGATACTGATGTACAAATAATTAAGACATTAATTATTTCAAATTTTTTTGTTTAAGCTGTACAATTATGATCACTACATAGAATAAAAATTATTTTAGTTTTTTTATATATTTTTTTTTTAATGATATATTATTTCACGTTAAATTGGCATTATTTGAATATATTTTAATTATTTCATTTAATAGGATGATTTACCTATATAAATATGTATGATCACTATCGAGTACTATCACTAACCGTTTGGGGTTTTTAAAATTGTTTTTTGACTTAATTTGTGGTTTTAATATTTTAACTTTGGAAAATTCAGACATTGTAGGTAAGCTATGTGGAAATCAACAATTCAAGCTAAGAAAAATCTAATAATTGTCATTAAAGTTGAAAATATAGTTTGTATTCTTTGAAATTGACAAACATATAACTTTATTTTTTTAAATCATGTATCTGATTTCACTTTCCAGATAATTTTTTTTTAGGAAGTATTATTGTAAATTATTTAGTAGAAAAACATTTATTTACCTATCTAAAAATAACATAATACATGGATTAATTTAAAAAAAGTTTATTGTTGTTAAAATAATAATAATATATATATATATATAAATATAATGAAAAATATTTTTTTAAATAATAATAATAGTATATTTGATGCACTGAATAAAAATTGTTCAGATCTAAAAACAATCGATTTTTAGTTTTATACACCTGGGGCTACTTTTGTGTGCTTAAAATTTATAAACATTATTGACATAAAATATCTATGTGTTCATTCCGCTCTTATAAGAAATAACTATATTACATGATCTAATTTATTTTAATCACATTATACATAGCAACATCTTATGCTATTGTAATCATTCCAGTTTTTACTCCCTGGCTTTATAATACTTATTTAACCAACGAGTAAATGCATTTTTACACAGTCTTATTATAAAAAATTATAGGTATGTTTTTTAAAAGCATCAGCAAAAGTCCCTATATCATCTTTTTAAATTCTTAAAACAGTTGTCTTTAGATTATTTTAGCGTTCAACATTTTGTGTTCTTAGACCGTTTTTATGAGTAGTAATCAAAAATCAAAAAAATTGTCTGAACATTTATTTTTACTAACTATTTAATGTTAATTTTTTATATTATATGTATGTATATATATTTTTTTTTTTTGAGCTGCTGTTGATATAGCTTGAACTAAATTAGATACTTATTAATATTGACTATTTTGTTTTTTTTTGTGGTGTGATTTCAGACATAGGGCATAATTAAAACATAAAAATAAAATATTAATTTCAAATCATTTTATTGCATTTTAACATTTTGAAGCATGGTGGTATAAGTAATATACCACTTTTTCAAAAAATAGCCTACTCTCGCACAGTGGTATATATTTATTACCACCTTCATAATCATGTTCAGAGAAAATCGGAGAAAAAAATGCTGTGCTTCAAAGGGTTAAAATTTATATTGAAAATCAACATTTAATTTACTATTTTATTATTTATAGAAGTATAATATAAGTATTTGCTCCACCCTAAAAAAGTATAGTAAATCTATAGATTTTGCTATATTTTTTTAAATTGATACTACATAATGAAAAATAAAATTATTTTAAAATTTTTGATTATTATCATTTAGTAGGATGAATTGTTGGTTAGCCATCTAAAAATATATCAACATATGGATTTATACCTTTCATGGTTTACTTAAAAAAGTATTAATGTATATATCAATTTATCTATTATGTATAAAATATGTCTGGATAAGTATCAAATAATTTAGGTATTTTATGCACTGAATATTATTATTATTATTATCATTTTGTACTCTGGCCGTTTTTATAATCACCGCCGGACACTCGAATAATCAAAAATATTTGCTACAAATTATTTCAGACATTTCATTCATGTTTTGTACTCTTGAGTTCCTAAGTAACCGTCACACAAACATATCATTCTTCCACACTTTTAAACTTCTAATAACCAACAAACGTCAGACCTTAAGTAACAAAGTACCTTTAGCATTAAAGATCCAGATCCAAAAACTAAAAGATTTGCATCGAGACATTTCATTTAACCTCTCTTTGGACATTTTTATAAGCTCTGCCAAATAGTCGATCAAAAATTAAAATAATGTATTTATCACTCTTCACTTCTTTCCCTTTTAAGTTTTAATATAAACTCTAGACATTTCATTCATGTGATTTACTCTTGAATTCTTAAACACTTATGAACTTCTGTTAAACCACCAGACCTTTAATATACATATTTAATGCATTATGCTGTTGGTTACATTCTAAACGTACAGTACGTCATTACCGAAAAATGGCATAGACGGTGATTTCTGAACAAATAAGAATTTTAATTCAACCAATATCTAGACATATAACGTATACGTTTGAAAAAGTTTTGTTGCACATAGGAACACCATATCAGACATATACAGACTGACCTCTAAACATTTCTTTCTATTTTTAACCATAGCTATTACCAAGCCCGTGAAGTAAACAACACCTCAAACAATTCAAATTAAAAAAAAAAAAAAAATTGTCCTTTAAGCAAGTAGCACACTCGCTTTAGTAGTAGGACGTTTCTGATCTGACAGATAGCTAGACTTGCACTACAGTTAACCGGTACTTAGCTTGCAAAACACTTTTTCGAAACTAAGTATGAACTATGATTACTAGATAAAGGTACGATGAATTATAACGGTATACTTTAAAACGTAGTGAGCTGACTCGACGCCGTGGCCGGGCACCCCCCTCGGAACTGCTGTGTACAGACATATAACATACTACGTTTAAACAAATTTTGTTTCACAAAGGTAAACCTTAACAGACATTTAGCTGACTGTCCTCTAGACATTTTTATCTGTTTTCAACTCATAAAATTAAGCGGGATGACGCCGGCCTATATTGATGACGTGGTCTATAATATAACAACTTTTACCAAAGACAATTTCCATTGTACACTTTTTCCCAATGGCCAGCTTCTTATCAAGCCTCTTTAACTTTTTAAAATTTTAATTTAAACTTAATTTTAAACCTGTTACCTCCTCATAGACTGTAGCCTACAAACCTAGGATATTTTTAGTTGGCGAAGCGAGTGAATGCCAAAACACTCGGAGACCTGCCGTCCTTATCAGTTTTCAATACGAATTCCGCCCGCTGATAAGGAACTGGACATTGTTAGTTCATAAAAATTGGTAAAAGTGGTAGCAACCCAAGTAAGCAACACCGGACACTTGATATTTATTAACCGTCTAACTTCTAGACTATTCTTTTCAATTCAAAATTTAAAAAAATTACAGATACATAGCTAGACTTACTCTACACTTAATCAGTACTTAGCTTGCAAATATTTGTCCATAACTAGGTATGAATTCTGATTACTAGATACAGCCTATAGGTACCATGAATTATAACGTCATTCCTTTAAGACGTATTGCGATGGCTCGACACCGTGGCCGGCGCAACCGGGCACCCCCATAGGAACCGCTGTGCACTGACTTCCACATACCGTGGCCGGCGCAGCCGGGCACCCCCCTCGGAATCTGTGACCTCCCCGAAAATACTTTGCAGCGAGAGGACGTGAGCGTGCCCGGCGTAGCCGGGTACAGTACCAGGAATCTGTGACCTAACCGCCCGACTCGGGGGCCTGGGGGCGGAGCTCCCAGCTAGAGCGAAGCTCTAGTAAAATAGATAAAGTAGTAAAATAGCGACTTGGTTTTTAAAGCCCTTGTGTCGGTAAACTTATTTCGAGTAAGTACATAATATTTTAGCTTAAGTGTTTCGACATCAGGGCAATTGCCCCGAGTTCCCTAACATATTAAACAATAACATCCGTATTAACACAGTACATATTTATTAGGTGATCATTAATTAAGTGTATTAGTATCACTAAGGTTTTCACGAGAAAGGTAATAAACAGGACAATTTTTCTACATAAACTTAAATAACTATTAATTTACAAAACTTAGTCGACGGCCAACCACATGAATGACGGCCACGGCGAGGATGGCTGAGACGGCGGTCAACAAAATGAATGCGACCACAGGGATGACAGCTTGAATAGATAGAGAGAAAAAACAACGTGATGGGTTCAAACACGGCGGCCGTAGACAACTAATAATTGTAGTGGTCTCCAACATGATAGTACGGCCGTTTTTCCACACCTGAAAGTCTGTAGATATGAGTTCAGTAGAGTCAAACAAGTTAAATATACCTGGGTTCAATATTAACAGAGAGAAAAAAAAAGGAGACTGACAAAGAAATATTATCAACGCGTTGCAGTATGTTGCTTTTTGTGGAAACTAATGAATGTGTTACCTCAGTGTATGGCCCTAAAGCCACACGGGGCTCGGCAGTTCACCGCCTCCGGACCGAACCGTCGATGGTATATGCAATATGGTACGGGCTCCCCTATGCCGTACTCCTGCACTCCTGCAAATCCACACGGCAGTATGCAGTTTACTGCATCCGCGCCGTGTCGCCTGTGGTACACACACGGTGGCTCCGGCTGTCCTGCCTCAGTTGGCCTGTAGCCGCACGGAGGACGACATCTGTGCGCCGCCGACCCGTATCTGTCGTGGTAGTAACACGCAGGTACTACCGGTGCAAGTTCTACCGGAGCGGGTTCTACCGGTGCAAGTTCTACCGGAGCGGGTTCTACAGGTTCAAGTTCTACCGATGCGGGTTCTACCGGTGCAGGGTTTACAGGTGCAAGTTGTACCGGTGCGGGTTCAGCCGATGTAAGTTCTACCGGTGCGGGTTCTACAGGTTCAAGTTCTACCGATGCGGGTTCTACCGGTGCAGGGTTTACAGGTGCAAGTTGTACCGGTGCGGGTTCAGCCGATGTAAGTTCTACCGGTGCGGGTTCTACAGGTGCAGGTTCTACAGGTGCGGGTTCAGCCGTTGCAAGTTCTACCGATGCGAGTTCTACCGGTGCGGATTCAGCCGGTGTAAGTTCAACCGGTGCAAGTTCTACCGGTGCCGCGTCCCACCATTTCTTTTTGGCCTTGAACACGAGAACAATTTTTATTTAAACTAATAACTATTGTGCTGACACTGACAAAACAGCGAGCCCTGGTCGAAGGTGTGTCATTGAACATGTCATCAAACAATATGTATGTTCATACGCATACCTTATAGAGCAGGTAACCGCCGCCAGTTACCGTTAGAACGGCGCCGCCGGCCCACAAAATCTTCTCCATAGAGCACATATTTCAGAATATTAGATATAATACTTGAAACGCAAAAACTGTATTTCCAACAAAAATGTCGTTTGCTCGTGAAAAGCTGAAAAACAACTGAAGTCTGAGACGGTTGTTATCGCAGCCGTTTTAGCATAGTAACACACATTTCAGCCAGCAACCAATGTACTCACGACTGGTAAGCACAGTAGTGGTAATTTATTCAATTCAATTGAATTCTAGTTATTAATAAAGTAAGTTACAACGTTAAAATAAAAATGTTGTTAACTTTATATTGGTAAATATCATCTGCTAGCGGTGCTTAATTAGACATACTTCCCAATGTTGGATTTTAATTTTTAATACATGTATGCATTTTTCGACAAATTTTCAAGGTTTTTTAGGAAGGCGATTTTTAATTTTCTCTTTTGAAGATCTCCAAAATTATTTTTTTTGAAAATTCAATGATAGTTTATTTGAGTTTATTTTAGGCATAACATTTTAAATCAAAAATGGGCTTCCTAAGAAACCCAGACAATTTGTCAACAAATCCACACATACTTTAAAAATCCAACATTGAGAAGTATGTCTAATTAAGCACCGCTAAAACGCATGAAACTAGTTGTGCTCCGACCCCCTTAAGGGGTAGATTTACTAAATTCTCACAATGTATAGGGAAACACTTTATCAATGGGTTGGCCTTTTTTAATTTCTTTGATATTTATACTTAATATTTTTTTATAAAAAACATGCTGCGGTCCCCTTAATGTTATTTTAACTTTGAGTTACATCTTGCTGAACAATTTTAAACTTGTTTTTACTCAGATTATATTATTTATAGTTTTATATAAATTATTTGTTGGGTCATGTCAGTGTAAATGGAATTTAAGGTCCATATAATGTTTATCAATGTAAATGTCCTATAAAATAGCGAAATCATAACATTAAGATTTTTTGATAAGTCATGTCGATGTAACAGGAATTCGAGGTAAATGTAATTCGAAGCAATAATTAAAAATGGAACTTTGATGTAACTGTAAATCGTGGCATAAAAAATAAAAGCGAAAACATATTTTCGTTGTAAATGTATTCGTGTCAATTGTCGTCGTAGCAATTGTCATTCGTAACAAAAATGTCGGAGTAACATAACATCGTAGCACGCAACATTCGTGGTAACTGTGTTATCCCTTTGGGTACTATACATTACATTTTTAAATGAGGGAACAAGATAATATGTCGATTTTATTTAATAAAGGTAAATGCTGCACCGAATTGAATTATTTCAACTTTACGGTAACCTGTGGTATAAAATGGTCGATAATATGAATTGACCAATTAGGAAGCAACATTTCAAACGGTCAACACGAAATACGCGAACACAGTAGCAGTGGAAATTGGAATAGCGCCTTATTACGGCTATCGTCGTGTGTACTTGCTACATGGTATAATATAAATGTTACATTACTTAACTGGGAATTTAAATACGCATGCGTCGTGTATTGCAGCAATACCTGAACAGCGACCTTAGGTTGGTTCTCTGGAACTACATATTATTGCAGGCATACTCCGTCTTGAAGCATATGAAGGTTTATGGTAACACTTGTTTGATTTGATAACAGACCCAGACAACAGCATAGGAACATTTTGGGCGTGTGATTCAAACTGAACTAAGAAATTTATATAGTTATGACTTATGTGGTTTATTAGTTAATAGTTATATACTTCTTTAGAAAATTATTTTTACAATGCATTCAGTATTTTGTTTGTTGTTTTTGACTTCACTGATTTTATACAATGTTCATTCTGGTAAAGTCTATGCCTTGATATAGTATATTAACTACTTATTAACACTATACTCAACTTTATTAAAAAAAAACTTAATATCTTAAATTAACATTTTTAGTTTCTGGTTTAATGTGCTGGCACTGTGACTCACTTCACGATCCAAAATGTGTTGACCCATTTGACAATAAAACTATGCCAATGAAGGATTGCAAACTGGAACGACTTGAAACTTATCCAACCTACCGCGGTACAATGTGTCGTAAAATTCGTCAAAAAGGTAAATGCAAACTGTATAACTCTTTTTTAAATTTGTAGTTAATGGGATTTAACAAATGACTGTTAGCTCCTACTATATTTACAATGTAGGAATAGTTTAACAATATTGAAACTAAACGTTAAACTCTACTTCAATTTAAGTGGAGTTAGTATAACAACCGTAAGTTAATTAAATTATTTATTAGATTTTCTAGTGGTGTAAGCTGAAATCTCAATAAATACAATTTGTGTATAAATTTTATTTCTATATGTTTTAATAAATGCAAAAAATGTTTTTTTAATTTCATTAGTTTATGGAAAATGGCGTTACTATAGAAGCTGTGCTTTTTTGGGAGAACCCGGTATTGGTGGAGATGAACGTTATTGCCTAATGAGAACTGGAACAAATAACATATTTACAGAATATTGCACATGCAATTCAAGAGATGGATGCAATGGTGCATTGTCAGTGTCATTTTCTATATTATCCTTTATATCAGCACCTACTATTCTTATTTTTACAAGACTGTTATAGCGCAATCATCCAACACTATATGAGTAATATTTATGCAGCTTAAAACAACAGTATTAATTATGTTATTTTTTAATTTAGTTAACTTAATTTTTTTTATTTTGATATATCGATTAGGTAGGTAAGGACATATTGTTAAATATCTTTTTTAAACAATATTTTTTTTATAAAATGAAATATTACAAACAAAAAAAAATTTACTAGCATTATTTAATTGTTAACTGGAATTATTCCGTCCATTAATATTATAAAATAAATTTATATATTAGTATATAATACCTGTATGTATGTGTTCAGATTTAGGTTTTTAACAACCTAAACATTGTTTTATTAAAAATTTGTACCATTCGTACATTTAACTTTGGTAACTAAAACTTTTTTTTTTATCAACCAATATTTTTCAAGTAGTTATTGAAAGTTTATGATATATAAAAACATTGGCAACAACATAATATTTTTTTTTTAGTTTATTGTTAGAACAAAAAAATAACTTAAATTATCTACTATATCATGTATTTATTTAGTATACATAAAAAAAAAAACAATTTTTTAAAATTATTATTGCTGCTTTATTGTTTTTAATCCTAGAAATCCATGATCTTCTATTATACATTAATGTATAACTATAATTTGATTAACTACGATGTTATTGCAAGTATGTTTGTAAAATGAAATTGTAAATTTTTATTCAAATGACCAATTGAAAATGTTGTTTTATACTGTGTTTAATACTTTTCTATACTCTGACCCACGAGAGAATGACTTTATTCCGTGCACTAAGACTGATGGTTGTGAGTGCTGCTAGGCTGATATTTTCCACCGATTATTCTAGTGCCCGAATTTCGTGCACTTCGCCTCTCACTGATCGTCAATTACAAGTTTCCTATCGGTATGGCGTATACATATACGGAAGGGAAATCGATGCACAGCGACAGACAAATTTTTAGTCATTCTTTCGTGGGCATGAGTATAGTAATTTTTTTAATTAACATACAAAACCATTCAATTTAAATAATGCATGTTCTTTTTATATTCAATAAAAAATAAAAATCATTTGAAAAATGAATGACCAAAACAGTTTTCAAATTTTAGTATTATATCTTTGTTTTTTTTAATCATTGAATAAATAATTTTGATAGTAAAAAGATATTAATTGTATAGTTAAATTTTTTTGTTTGTGACTATATTTTTTTATCTGCTACATCATTTGAGAAAAAATTTCTTTAATTTTATTTACAAATATTTTTAGTATTTAAATAATATTTAATGTTTTTGTCTTTTCCAAAATAATTAGGTATCCCAAATTGTTGTAAAGATTTAAGCAGTTCTTACGAGATGGTCAATAAATTAGGTTTTCTTGTTTTAACCCACATATATGATTTTATGTAATCACGATTAAAGTTTTTTCATGTTTGAAAGTTATAAGTTAAAGTTAATTTTTTAACAATAAAGCTAAATTGAAAAAATATTATTTATAACTTTAAAAGTTATAGAAATTTAGTGTTAGGAAAATAATATAAAATATGCATTTATACTTAAGTTATAAAGTTAAAACTCAAATTTAATTAAATATGTAAAACAATATTTATTAATAATAAATGTTTCTCCGCTATTTTTTTCAAAGTAATTTAAAACTACATTGCAAAATTATAGAAGTCATACTAAGCCTATTAGATATTAATGTAATACATTTTTTTGATTATAAAATGTAAATATGATGCATATATCAGGTTGCAAAAACATTCACTATTGTTTAATGAACCATAGATGTTTAGCGGTTTCTTAAACATAGTTTAGTGACCCGTGATTCGTATATTAAATTTTAAGGAACCATTAAATGTACAAATTATTTGTGCTCTTCGCATTTTTTTTCTTTGCTTCTGCGACTAAAAAGTTTTTTCAAGTTGGGAGGGGAGTTTTGCATAACTATTAGAATTTAGAACTTTTAATTTAGGATAAAGGCATAAAGCTTAGTTTTTAAACAATTTATTAATATCTATGGCTTACTCAGTATAATGTTACTATATAGTTATAGCTTGTAGACCAACAGCTAACTAGATATTAGAATATAATAACCCATAATGAATTACCAAGATTAATTAATAATATAATAAAATATATCTATAACCAATAATTCTACCGGGTATGATAACTCAGTTATCACTTATCATTTTTCAGTTATCACGAACATAGTCAGACATTACTTATTGGCACATTGTGATTTGTGGCTTGTGCTATATTTTATTATAAATAATATGTTTCACTCATAACTAAAAAGATTTCTTTTGTCATATATCCTACAAAAATAAAATTAGATTTTGTTATTAGAAATATTATGACATGACATTTTTTTTTGTGTTTCAGTCATACCCTATTTGCTCCAACAAGTAAGTATATTTGATTTGCTTACATACTTACTACATAGTAGATCAATAAGATTCAAATTATTTCACAAATAATATACTTTATACATTCATAACCATGAGAATATGGTAAAACTATAACAAACATTGGAAATTTAACATAATACATGTGGCATACACACAAAGTTTTGGAGTTTATTTATTATATTCAGTTATATTTTAGTCTTGAATGAATATTCTATATTGTACAATTTTACTGTTAAAACTTGATTAAAAATAAATTAAAGAAAATTTAATAATTAGTCTTTTTCTTATTTTATTTGGAAGTTGTTAAAAAATGATCTATTTAAATAATATTTATTTAAGTATTCTTAATAATTTTAAATTGTATTAGTAATATATAATTTTCAAGACTCAATTTGATATTATATTATTCTTATAGAAATATTTGAAACTATCAATTTTTGTTTAGACATTCAGTGAACGGTACACATTGAAATGCACTCTCATGGGGAATCAAATCAAGTGAAAGACGATGTAGATCTACTTGAAGAGCTATTAAATAAGACAAACTGTGCTCATTTACATTATAAAGTTCAAGATTGTATAGCAACTACTAAAGATTGGAGAAAATGTCAAGTTGAAGTAAAAGCTTTTAAAGAGTGTATTGAAAAAAATCAAAAATTAGCTGATAAAAACAATGTTTGAACAATCTAATTATGTGTTAGTAACATCATTCGTGGCAGGTGTAGTTATGGGCACGTGCATTACTTATGGATACCGTAATTTCAGGCCATTATTATCAGGTTCTTGTGGTTTTAATAATAAATTAGTCTTAGTAGTCAGAAATGATTTAGGAATGAGCAAGGGCAAAATTGCAGCTCAGTGTTCACATGCTTCTGTTGAATGTTATAAAGCAGCCGTTCAGTACAAGCCTCAAATAGCTAAAATGTGGCAAATCACTGGACAAAAAAAAATTGTTCTCGGTATAGAATCGGGAGAAAAAGGACTAACTGAACTGTCAAAACTTGCAAAATCTCATAAAGTTCTTTCATGTATCATAAGCGATGCTGGAGCAACACAAGTCAAAGCAGGCACAACGACTGTAATAGGAATTGGACCAGATAACTCTGACATCATTGACAAAATAACTGGACACTTAAGATTGATTTAAAAATGTATTTTTATTTTTAACATTTAAGTAAAAGTATTTATTAAAAAATTAGTTATTCTAATAGTCAATATAAAAATATAAATGTTTGTTTTTATTGTCTACACAACATTATTTGGACGGAGTTGGTAAATAAGTCTTAAACAAAGCCAGATCAATTATTAAGAATAAACATAGTTATTAGTGAACACAACGTGGTTATAATAACAGAAAAAGGTGAAATATTAATTGAAGAGTTGCAGCTGTCTTCTGAACAATAACATTCTTCCCAATAAACACCATTCCATTCAACTCCCCAATTGCATACACCAGTGACACCTGTGTCTGAAACTGATCCACAACGGCGGATGACATTTCGCCAACGCCCATCCCCTATAACAAATATTAAAACATTTAGTATATATATATATATATATATGACTTCATATTATAAATAAAAGTATTTTAACTGACATATAAATCCTCTGAGCCCTTGTTTGGTAACCTTTACACAAAATGTTCCGGGAGTGTGCGATTCATCACTAGTACATTCGACAGGTATATGCCGATCTTTGTGGAACTTTTCATATGCACCACAGTTGTCAGATCCTTTGGCATCACTGCTAGTTGAACACTGATAGCATTGAATGCTGTAAGCTAAAAACAATTACACTTTAAACAAATTGTATATTTCTTTTTTAAGGGCGTGACAAAGAAAGACCACACCTTTTCAATAAATATTACCTTTTCGCAGTAATGAAAAACTAAATATTAAAAAAAAACACACTACACTGAAATTCATTATTAAGATTGTTCTATGCTATCCAGATGGTCAAAATACAATTTTAAAGCTAAATTTTCCAGTAAATAGTAAATACTATAAAGTTAAATGTAAAAAGCAAGTAGCAACTATAATAACGAAAAATTATCAAACAAATAACAATTCAAAGTAGACAAGTAGTGAATCTGTGAATGATAACTAGTGAAAACAAAACATAATATTATTTCAGTGGTTCTCAGCAAATCTTTTTTTTTGTTTGAAAGCCAATAATATATATTTTATAAAGAAAAAATACGCACCATATTCCATCTAAAATGTTTCGCCAACAATAAAAATAATAAATTATTTTTATTAAATACTCGTTATATTTTTATTTATTGTATATTTTAGAAAAATAAAATTATAATACAATTTGTTTATATAGTTTTTCCTGTGGTTTTTCAGCCATGATAAATACGCCATCTTGTTAAACAATGTTTATAATCTACTAAACTTTGATATAATTTTTTGTATGCCTTTTTAATTTTGAAGTTCAATTATTTATATGCGAGATCATAATATTTACATCTATAAATCTTACTATCGAATATAAAACTAGTGTGAGGTAGAATCGTAAGATTCTCACACCTACCTGCTCTTAGAAAGTACTAATATTATCTAATAACAAAATATGATGGCTCTTAACCGTATTCCTAATTATTGATACCTACTTTAGTTTCATTAGATATTATAATTAGTTTTGACATTTCAAGTTTAATATGGGATATAGCAGAAAGTAAGTCACATTTACCATTGTTTGAGTTCACTTCTAACTAATTTGGACATTTTTATAGTCCAATAAATACAATGAGAGATCGACGAAGGGATCGAGGTCGGCGTAGCCGTAGCCCAATGCGTAGACGAGGTGGTGGTGGTCGAGGTGGAAGAAGTGATCCTGGCTCAAATTTACGGAAACCAAAATGGGATATGAAAAAATTAGAACCATTTAAAAAAGATTTTTATGTTCCCAACGAAGCTGTTAATAATAGGTAAATTAAATGTGTAAATTGGCTAATATACATGTGTTGCATTGCCTGATAATTAAATGGTGCTATAGCCTACAGTGATTCTGGACTTTTCAAATGACCTAGTGCAAGCTGTAGGTCTGGTCAAATCCAACATAAACAATTTGCTTTGCTTAAAAATTTTTTGTTTCAAACTCATATACCATAAGACATGAACAACTCTGCTAGTTATGTAATTTAGCAATTTTTAAGGATGTATACTTCTAATCCCTGAAAAATTAAAAGCCTACTGGCTGTTCAAACCAAATAAACAAATCTGTATACTAAGAAAAACCAGAAATTATCTTGTACCTAGCTCTCATTATTTCAAAAATGTGCCAACACTTGGCTCATTAATATTTTAAGTTTTAAGTGTTTTTAAGCATTTTTTTTTTTTTAAATAGTAAACTAAAGAAAAGGTTTTTCTTATTAATTTTATTTTATAATGATATTAATGTCAACGAATTTGTATTGATTTTTTAATGCCCATATCTCAAGATTTGAATAAACCATAATTATATACATTAATAACTATTAATTACATCTGTTATTTAGCATTTTTAAAAGTATGAATTATTTATTTAAAAAAAAAAATGTTACTATAGTATAATATTCTTTAAATAATGAAGTGTAACTTATGTATGTAATAACATAATACAACATACATAGTTATTAAGTTCAAGTATACAATTGTATTTATAAAATATATTATGACCACGTTAAATATGTTTACTTTAAGGTCCAAGGCTGACGTAGAAAAATATCAAGAAGAAAAAGAAATAACCCTAGTAGGTGAAAATATTCCAAAACCAATATTCAAATTTGAAGAAAGTGGATTTCCTGAAATTATTCTTAAAGAATTAAGGTATTTAGTAACAAACTTATATATTTAGAAAACAGTTCAATCGACTACATCAATGATTACGATTTTTAATTTTATCAAATGACGTCTTAACCAGGAAAGACCCTATTCGAGCCCAGTTCGGTAGCCGAGTGGGGCGCAGAGCATTTCTGCCATGCATAGCGGGAGGGGGGCCGCCTCTTATCCTAGCTAGGTAGCCCTGCCCAGTAAGCAAGATTGTCTTTGGCCGAATTTGAACCAGCAACAGTGCACGGCGGCACCGCCGTCTTAATCTGTTTAGCTACTTCGTCCCCCAAATGATTAAAATTTAAAAGCGACTGTACTTTATTCTAAAAGAGAAAATACTGATTTTATGCATCACGACTGATGGCTGGCAACCGCTGCAAGTCAAATTTCTCCCACTCTTGCCAAAATGTGGCGCCAAAAGTACACAGCAGTCACCATTCAAACCTTGAACCTAACCAAAGTATGTCGCGGTGGGAGATGCGCGCTGCCGAACATAAACCGGTCACTGCCCGCTATATTCTTTTTTGGAACAGTGTATAGTAACCCTTATGGTCTGAGCAACATGCAGTGTACTGTTGGTGGGAAATAAATGAGTTTCCCCTGAACAAATCCATGAAAACTGCTGTAATCGTTTTTTAACAAACCAATTTTTTACTATAATATTATTATAGCTTAAAATTATAAATATTACCGCAATATAATTGAGGACAGATGTTTGAGGTTGAATTATCCATTTAATGGACCTGCTCGCGAAAATTGCAATGTCGTGTGCAAGCTATGGAAACTTTTTTAAATCATGATTACACTAACTTATTTTTAGCTTTTTTTTAAATTATCTATTAGGTATAAATTTTAATATAAAATTGTTTTGAGTTTTATCTATTTTAATGGTGAAAAGTAAAACATGCTTCCCTACAATTCTCACACCTCGTAGAGTAGTCCTCGTAGTAGTAGATGTAATAATTTTTTTTTTTTGAAAATGCAAACACTCCTTACAGTGTATTGGACTTTATTTTTTGATTACGTTACTAAAAACTGAGAAAAAAAGTAAAACATTTATGAAAATTGGTCATATTTAAACTCTTAATATGGTGTTTAGAAATATAATTTTGAAAATCCAAGTCCAATGTACTTTTTTTCTAAAAAGAAAAAAAATTATTGTAATCTTACTACTCTAAGAGGCGTGTAAGTTATTCCTGTAGGGATATTTTACTCATAATAATAGGTACGCCTAGGCGCATTAAAGGGATGTATAGTTAGATGGTAGAATTATCATTTGTATGATTTTTTAATTTTTAATTCAAAGACTGACTTAAAAATGAAAAAAAAATTAAAAAAACTCCTTGAAATCCATAAAAAATTTGGCTTAGTCCTTTTTTGCCTTAATCTATTGTTATATTTGTAAATAATTATATAAATTATATAGGAAGCAAAGTTTTGTTGAACCAACTGCCATCCAAGCCCAGGGTTGGCCAATTGCATTGTCTGGAAAAAATTTGGTCGGTATAGCATCAACTGGTTCTGGGAAGACTTTATCGGTAAATACAATTGTTTGATTGGTGGTTTACCATATGATACATTGGTATCATGTTTTTCTATCATCTAAAATATGTAAACATTTCAGTATATTATACCAGCTTTAATACATATTTCACACCAACGTAAATTGTCTCGTGGCGATGGTCCAATTGTGTTAGTTTTGTCTCCCACACGGGAACTTGCCCAACAAATACAAAGTGTCTGTGACGATTTTGGGGACGCTTTTGGTGTTAGCAGTACATGTCTGTTTGGTGGGGCTCCAAAAAGTGGACAAGTATGTAATTAAAATAACTATTAAATTTATTGAGATTTGTATATTAATGTATAGAAGTAATATTTAGGCAGCTGATTTAAGCCGTGGAGTCGAACTGATCATAGCTACACCAGGACGTTTGTTAGATTTCCTAGAACAAGAACGTACAAATATGTGTCGATGCACATATCTTGTGTTGGACGAGGCCGATAGAATGTTAGACATGGGTTTTGAACCACAAATAAGAAAAATTATTGACCAGATTAGAGTAAATACAATTTTATTTCATCTTAGTATTTATTTATTATTTTATTATATTTACTTATTTTGGTACAGCCTGATAGACAAGTGTTAATGTGGTCGGCAACATGGCCCAAGGAAGTAAGAAATTTAGCAGAAGAATTTTTAGATGATTATATACAAATAAATATTGGCTCATTAACATTGGCAGCTAATCACAATATTCAACAAATAGTAGAAGTGTGTCAAGAGTATGATAAAGAATCAAAGTAAAAACATATTATATATTAATACTTTTAATCTTTTATAGTATAAAGTATATTTTATACATTTAGATTAATAACTCTCTTGAAGAAAATAATGGACGAAGATGAAAATAAAACAATAATTTTTATTGAAACCAAACGACGTGTTGATGAAATAACTCGTAAAATAAAAAGGAATGGGTAAATGTAACAATTTACTGAGTCTTTAAACTTTTTAATTTAATAAAATAACCATGTTTTTTAGGTATTCAGCTGTTTGTATTCACGGTGATAAATCACAATATGAAAGGGATAATGTTTTGAAAGGTATAGTTCCTTAAACCATGAATTAAACATATATAGATAGACATGCTGCATATTTTTTTGGCTTATATCGAATTATACATGTATTAGATTTTATTTACTCATTATTAAAACGGTTTGCCATAAATGTGTACTCTCTGGCCTAACTATGTATGTTTAATCTATACTTATGGTAATAATTAGAAAAAAATGTGTTATGCTTTATTTTTTTATTGTGTAATTAATTATTGATGTTCAATTTTCAATGAAAAATATTTTCAGATTTCAGAGATAGTCGATATCCAATATTAGTTGCTACAGATGTTGCTGCCCGAGGACTTGGTAAGTTATTCTTTTAAAATTATTTATGTATCGTAAGACATTTTATTTACTAATAAAACATTTATTAGTTAATACAAATATTTACAAAAATAAATAAATAACCATTATTAGTATTAAGGATTAGTCAAAATTATCTTTGAAAAGTCGGAGGGAAAAAATAAGCAATTGGCTTGTAAACGTATCATTTATTATATTATATAGGTAAAGTGTCTTTTTGTACTGCTTTCTTGTTACATGAGAAACATATAACAAATTTTTCGTTATTAAAACACTGTTATTTGGGATTCTATACAACAGAGTATTGTGTTTTTCTTATTTTTAATGTCTATCTCCATGAAAAATAAAGTACAATTTCTGATCAAATTTGTTGAAAATATTTGTATAGATATATAGAAATCATCTCATTTTGTACTCAGTGAATAGGCATAGTTAAAATTTAAATTTAAACAAACAGGATTTATACTTGAAAGAATTGAGACTACGGCTAGTAAAATGTATTTTATTTAGTTTAATGCATTTTGTTTTGTACAATTAAATCTCTGTAGGTTTTAGAGTTGAACATTTAAAAACAAATTTTTTTTTTTATTAAAACATCTTGATTAAATTATTTTTATTAAAGAGAAACATTGACCAACTATTTTAAGTGAATTAAAATAATAATATCTGTATCCCTTTTTTTTGTTAGTACACAATATATTTTTAATACTTCTTTTTATAATAAGTATTAATTTTTTATTTCTAATAATACTATGTAAAAAAATATAATGATTGTTAACAATTTTTTTACAATTTTAATTGGCATTTTAGCCACTTGAAACTTTTAGCAACTTGAAAAAACTCTAAATAATATTTCATACATTATCAGTTATAAACTAAATTTTGTTTATCTTACATTGAAAAAACATATTTCTTGTTAACATTTGCATACTAATTAGTTCATAAAATTATTTGATTGGTTAAATAATGATAATAATTGGATAATTTAATGATAAATACATTATCTTACACATCATGGGTTTTTGTTATCTGCAGTTATTAGGTATAATTTATTTATTATTACTGTTGTATACCTAAAAGTTCAAAATATATTAGAAGTATAGTATTATAATTAATGATAATAAGTTATTGGAACCAATTTATGTTAAGTGTATGTCTTTATGCATATTATAATTTATTAAACTTATATATTTTTTTTTTATTATAAAATAGGTATTTAAACTTTTGTAATATCTTAGAATTATGGGTGTTTGATATGTTCTATTTTTCTGTTTTATTTTACATTACAGAGGCACACACAAGCTGTACAATGCGTACAAAATTTAAAAAAAAAACTTTTAAAAATGTTTCAATGTTGTCGCATTGTCGACGCTGTGCCTCGAATATGGATATGCATAAATAATTGCGTGTCATACTGTTTGTGTGTTCGTGGCGGCTCGGGCTACACGAGTAGTTTGAGTGGTCACCCGCCAGCGGCAACGTGGGACTATAGTCATCCACACTGCTGCTCCCAACGTGCCTCGATCTGTCTGTGTGTGTTGTGACGTGTCCAACGTCTATCGTTGTCCCACGCGGGGCGCTTAACACGTACACTGGATGTCGATGGTAATTAGCAAATAAACATAATGTTAAAAATGTTTTTGTTGGAAGTACATTATGGTAAATGAGTTTTTATTGAAGATTAGGCTGTGGTAGCAACATTTTACCAGCGTTAATATTGTTGACATTTAAAGTATGATCAACGCTTTATTTATACAAATTATATACTTTTTTTTTTAGATGTAGAAGATGTAAAATTTGTGATCAACTTTGATTACCCAAATAATTCTGAAGACTATGTACATCGTATTGGACGTACAGGCCGTTCTCGTAAGACAGGGACAGCTTATACTTTTTTCACTCAATCGAATGCCAAACAAGCAGCTGATCTAGTGGCTGTTTTAACTGAAGCTAATCAGACTATAAGTCCAAAGTTGAAAGAAATTGCTGATAATTGGCGTTCTAATGGAGTATCGGGAAGAGGTAAACTAATTATTTTAGTTGATCATAAATTATTAATTAAACATATATGGGTCATAAAATTTTATTGTTTTTAGGTGATAGACGACGTGGTTGGAGAAATGGTAGATCAAAGAAATCAAGAAGTCGATCTAGAAGTCGTGATCGCTATAGACGTAGATCAATTACTAGGTCAAGATCAAGATCTTACTCCAGATCTAGGAGTCGTAGTCGTTCCAGATCTTATGATAGACATCGTAGACATCGAAGAAGCAGGTATTGAATTATTACTTATTTATTTACATACTTTTTTTTTTAATACATAATAAATATGTGTAAATATATATATTTTTTTTTTTTTTAGAAGTTCAGACTAAGTATACCCATTAGCAACAAAATAAATTCTTTTATATTTATATATATATTTTTTTTATTATATCTATTAAACTTTGAAGAAACAATCTACAAACAAAAAAATACTAGGATATTGGTATAAATAATAGTAAAATATGTTTTATCGTTTTATTTTTTTATGTGCTTAAATATATGTCTTTAACACGCATCGACGAAACACAATTTGACTTATAAATGTTATTATTAATAAAGTTTTGTATTCAACACATAATGAAATCTCTAAATTCTCATTTATAATAAATAGTCAATTAATTGAGAATATTTGAAGTTATTATTTATTTAAAAAATATTATAATTGGTAGCATGATATATTAAAATTATTATAATTAATATGATATACTACTTAATATTTTTTAAGACAATTATGTTAGTACAATATTCCTTTTAATAAATTATACTTAAAAATTGTATTTAATATTTTAAGTTAACCAATTTATTTTACATACTTTTTGTTAGTGATTTGTATACATATTTGTAGAGTATATATAATGAAGGAAATCATAATTTCCTAGTCAAATATAAGAAAATAAAATTGTATATTCTCGTGTTCATAAAGTTGTGTTATATAATTTAGAATATTTTATTTAATATATTCAGCATTAAATAAATACAATATATTATAATCATACAATTAGTTATTATTATGTAGCAAATATTATATATTTATTGAAATTAAAAGAAATTCTAATTCTATGCATTTTATAAGTCTCTAGGACCATCCCGTCATACGTCCAGCTTTCCATTCATCCCGGTCGGTTGCTCGCGCCTTTCAATCTGTTCCTCCTCCTAGCTTCTTCACTACATCTTCCCACCTCATTCTCGGTCTTCCAATGGGTCTTTTTCCGGTTGGGTTTTTTCTCTAGTACTGTACGGAGTAATGGGTTTTGGTTTCTCCAAGCTTGCCCTGCCCATTGTAGTCTCTTATTTCTGATTACTTCAACGATGTTTGGTTTTTGGTGTAGTGATTCTAATTTCTCGTTTTTCCTTATCCTTCAGTCATTGGTTACACCGTCCTTCACAGGACCAAAAATTCTTCTCGGATTTTCCTTTTAAAAACGAGGAGTCTGCTCTCGTCGGTTTTCCGAATTGCCCAAGTCTCTGCTCCATATGTAACAATTGGTCTTATCAAGGTAGTGTATAGTTGTTTTTTTAAATCCCTTGACAGGGATAGATCCCAACAGCTTCGCTAGTCCGAAAAAACATTTATATCCAGCCTGGATATTCATTTGTTATATTTGTCCATATTCCTTTCTCTTATATTTTTTTCCAATGCAATATTAAATAATATAAGCGATAAAGAGTCTCCTTGCCTTAGTCTTGGCCCTACTGGTATTTGTTCCTTTTTTAAAGCTCCTATTCTGACTTTAACATACGTTTCCATAATACTTGACTTGGTCAGATTTATCAGTTTATGTAGGAATCTCTACCAATATATTAATTAGACCTTCTCGGTGTAGGCTATCATATGCTTTTTGGAAATCAACGAAAAGTACAAGCATTTTCTTATTGAACTCCCGTGTATTTTGTAAAAGTTACTTGACGATAAATATTTGGTCAGTTGTCGATCTACCGGGCTTAAAACCACCTTAGTATTCTCCTATTACACTTTCAGCTGTCCCTTTTATCCTTGATAGAATACAGTTACTGAATATTTTATATGCTACATTTAAGAGTGCTATTCCTCGGTAGTTGTTGCAGTCCTTTCTATTATCTCACTTGTGTATGACCAATATCATCGACGTTTTCCAGTCTTCAGGTATTTCTTCAATTTCTTCCCATACATTGGTAATTATTTCCCATATTCTTTGATTCAATTCTTCTCCTCTATTCTTTAACAATTCTGCTACGATCTCGTCCTCTCCAGGTGATTTGTGATTCTTTAACTTTTATACATGGTACCTGATTTTCTCTAAAGACGGGATTAGGCATATCTGATAATTTCTGGTAATTTTTTTATTTATTTAAAAAATAGCCCACGAATCATATTTTATATTAATATGCTTTCTTTCTTTATATTTATTTCTACAAAACTTACATCTATAACAAATGTTAAAAAAAAAAATACGCATCTTATAGAGAACTATAATATATTATTTAATTATATTTATTTATATTATATATTTTTTTATAGTATTTACATAAATGAATTAGTTTTTAATAATCGTCCTCAGCTTAACTTTCACTGCTATCGTCAGAATTAATTGTTTTGATAATCGGCTCTAATATTTCGTCACGTAAGCCCTCTTTAATATAATCGTCGTCTTGTAGTTTGTTGTAATGTGTCACATGCCTACTTCTTCCAGTCGCCAATCGTTATGGAGTTCAACGTTTTATGCACTAATTCTTCGACGTCTGTCATTTTAAAACTGGTATTTTCTTCTGCGACTTTTTCTTTAATCTGTGCGCATTTGACCTCCGACAGTGATATGGCGGCAGCCGTACAACTTCATGACCCATTGACAATGCAATTTCGTTGAGCTCGTGTATTTTTTTTTTTAATATTTGTTATAGAATAAAATATGATAAATAATAATCATCACACGTAAATCTAGAACGAATAACGCATGTAAGGAAAACCCATAAAGGTTGGTATTATCCAGCGTTGTTGAATAATACCGAATAAGTTAAAAATAGACCTGTGTTTGCCGCACGGGCCACGGCTGACGGCATAAATGAACATTATCCCTAAGCTTATCTATTTTTTTGTCATTGGATCTCTATATCGGATACCAAAAGGTCCAAGGGACCACTAAATCGACTGTAAACTAGACCTCTTTGATAATTAAAATCAATATATTTTTGATTCCTGATTAAAAATGGGGTAAAATTGAAAAATTACCGTATTTTCACGTACGGTATTAACTTTGCTACCGTATACCGTATGTAGTATAAATTTACCGTGCAAGTACGGTAACTACCGTACGTCTGGCAACACTGGATCATGAGCCAGTCGACTCCCCCGGTATTGTGGTAGACTAGGACTCACACCACCCTGATTAAATAATATGCTAAATAGTAAATGTATGCTCTATACTCTATAGTATAAGGTTTGTGACATGACTTAAATTTACTATTGTATAAATATAGGTTTATTTTCTAAAGTGGCTGCACTGAAAATCACGAGTTGGGGGTAGTTCTTCCAAAAAATGATAACGCGTTATAAGAAATAAATGTTACATAACCTATGAAATGTGTAATACTACAGATAGTACCAACATCGATTTTACCAAAAACCCGCCAAGAGAAATTTCGTATTTTAATATCAAAAACATTGCCTTTAGTTAGGTTCTTATCTTTATTGCAAATTGTAGTTAGATCTTTATCAATTATCTAATTTAAATCGTATACACTATACACGTAAAATTCATAATAAATTACATTATATTATAGTATATACCTATCATATAAGTATATGTTATAATTTAATATTATTTGGTATAAAATAATAATAATTTTATTAAAATTTCCCTCAAATTGTTTATATTACTATTTAAATAAAACATTATTTTTACTTTTTACCTAAATTAGTTAACGATTTCAGAATTTGGCTGTCAAGTATAAATTAGTTTTACCACATCTTACATATGTATTCTGTAGTTAAAGAATACAGGTAGGAGCTTATAAGCTTTGTCTTCAATCTTGTCTTTTAGAAGATATATTATTAACAAAATTTGGTACCTAAAGGATATATTAGAGCAAGATAACGGAACATATGACACTTGTAGTTTAAATACCTTACATGAATAACTAAAACAAAACACATATTTCATTTTCAAGTTTCCACATAAATCAATATATACATTATAAGGTTATAGTCCAAAGTGAACCTTTTGCCAGATAAAGACTCGTGAAGAGAAAAAAATTGTTGTACGGCCCCTTTTGCATGGGATAATAGGTAGATAATACGAATATGGCATAATATAAAATTACTGTAAACTAGATTTAACAATTCTGTTGTATTAATAAAAATGATCAAACTTGGGTCGTAATCGTATAAACGTCATACTCAATAAATATATAATGTAATTTAATAAAAACTTGCTTTTATGTTGGTGAGATTATCAAATCAGACTGATCGGTATTAAAATACCTTGCAAGACTGAATGTTATTTATAATCAATTAGTAGGTTTTTAAAATAATTGTTATTCACTTAATATTTTACAGAAATTAGTTTATATTAAGCTACTCTGAGTATATATTTTTATTATATAAACCAAACTAAACAATATGAATTTGTTCTGAAATAGTTATTCATATGATTTAAAAATATGATACAATTTTTGGTCAATATAAATTTGCAAATTTACAATTATCTCTTGATTTGAAAATGTCCTTGTTTGTTAGAAGATTGCATAGCCCATATTTTATTAATCTATGTACTTATTCATTTAATATGGCCATTTACTTAGTGAATAGTTAAATTAATAATTTATGAATAATTACACCAGAAATCGCATAATATGACAATTGATACACATTAATGCGAGCGTATCAAGTACTCATCACATAAATGTTGATCTACCCTTGGTATGGTACAAAGATCTTAATTAAATAACTGCAAAACTTCTTCAAACGATTGTACTGTTCCATCCTTTATAAATTAGGTATGGTACCCTCGTGTTTAATATATATTTTTCTGTTCTAGGAACTTGCTTTCTGTTGTAGTTAAATAATTTTTGGATTAAGTCCTGCCGTTTTACGGTGGACAATATTGACATAAAGCTTTTTTTTAATTATTTTAATTAATACTCTGATAATCAGCATCTCATCATATTTATTTATCTCTTATCTCGTTCTCATCGAGATCTGCTGTTAAAGCTCTTTTTGCCCACAAAAAGTTTAATAAGTTATAATAAGACTGATTTAAGTATGTTAATATTTACTTAAGATTGGTGAAGTTGTGAAAATTTAAATGATATAAACGTAGCTATGGACATATTTAATGTGAAAACTAATGAGGCTATTTCCAATTCCACTAATATGTATATAATAAAATTGTCAAATCAGAAATTAAAAGATTGAATATCAAGCGGTCAGGTTAACTCTATTTTAACTAAGTGAACATTTTTCAGGAAGTATAAATTATTAATTACAATTCAGTAGCACTTTTTAAATTGTGGTAAACCAATGGGTAACTCTCTCCGAAATAAACAACCTAGCTAAACCACCAAGAGTCGAGACTATTAAAATTTAATAGGTACAATTGTATAAATATAATCATGAT